CCCGAGAGGCAATCAGATATTCCCTGGATCAACTTTACCTATAAATGTTATATCCAGTTATACTGTGTGTTATAATATACTATAAAATAGCATATAATAATACATCCAGTATATATAGTATCATAATTCAATGTAACAATAATAATATATACAGTGTTACAATATACCATACAATATCATATAATAGTAATATCTATAATATGTATTATTGATTAATCTATCTATTGCCATTAGGGGGCAGCACAGTGGCTAAATGGTTAGCACTTCTGCCTGACAGTACTAGGGTCATTGGTTTGAATCCCAACCACAGCATCGCCTGCCTGGAGTTTGCATGTTGTCCCTGTGTGGGTTTCCTTTGGGTACTCCGGTTTCCTCCAAAGACATGCTGGTAGGTGAATTGGCTCCTATCTAAATTGGCCCTAGTATGTGTATGTATGAATGTGAGTTAGGGACCTTAGATTGTAAGCTTCTTGAGGGTTAGGGACCTTAGATTGTAAGCTTCTTGAGGGTTAGGGACCTTAGATTGTACACCCCTTGAGGGTTAGGGACTGATGTTAACGTACAATATATATGTAAAGCGCGAAGTAAATTGATGGCGCTATATAAGTACCTGAAATAATAATTATCCATATCTATCTAACAATAATAATATATACAGTGTTGCAATATCATATAATAATATATCCAGTATATAGTATCCTATAACAATGTAATAATAATATATACAGTGGTATAATATACTGTACAATATCATATAAAACAATCATTCCAGTGACATATAGAATCATATAAAATGTTAAAATAATAATATATATGTTGTTATAATATACAATATAATAATAATATACCCAGTGTTGTAAAATAGTATCATATAATAGTAACAACAATAATATATCCAGTGTTCTACACATAAGAAATAACGTGTCCAATGAAATCCTTACAATGTAAACATGTCCGCAGAGGCACAATCAATACTGCAGTGGCAGAAGCAGATAGAGGTCCATAGAGACTGAAGAGGAATGACACAACCAGAACGGTCCACAGAGAGAAAATTATCCACGTAGTAACACTGGGATCAAGATATTCTGAGTCGGTAGGGTGCTAAGGAAAGAAGTTGGGAGGTTGGGGGTAATTTATACAAATTGTGGAAAAAAAATTTATTGGGGGGGGGGGGATGTAATATAATATTATACTGATAGATTTTATATATGTAATATATCTATCGATCTATTATCTATCTATCTCTGTCTCTTTACTATGTATCTATTCGTGTATATATATATTTGTTATCTATCACTATCTATATATCTATCCATTTATCGATCTATTATCTATCTATCTATCTATCTATCTATCTATCAATTTATCTATCTATTATTAGTTGCACTATCTATATATCTATCCATTTATCTATCTATCTATCTATCTATCTATCTATCTATCTATCTATCTATCTATCTATCTATCATCTATCTATCTATCTATCTATCTCTGTCTCTTTACTATGTATCTATCCGTGTATATATATATATTTATCATCTATCTATCTATCTATCTATCTATCTATCTATCTATCTATCTATCTATCTCTATCTATTGATCTATTATCAGATGCACTATCTATATATCTATTATCTATCTCTCGCTCTATCAACTACTATATGTCTATTATTTGTCTGTATATATATATAAAGAAAGAGAGAGAGGTGATAGAAAGAGAGATAGATATGGATTGATCATGGAGATAGACAGATAAATAGATTAGATAGATAGATAGATAGATAGATAGATAGATAGATAGATAGATAGATAGATAGATAGATAGATAGATAGATGATATGGATCGATAATGCCAATAGAAAGATATATAAATAGATAGATATTAGATGGAGATTTCTTTTGTTTTGTTAATATTATATAATTATATAAATTAGCTTGCATTATAGCTAAACTCCCAGCAGACACAAACATCACCAACAAATGACATTATACAGTATTAAAAAATAAAACCGAATAAATGTATTTAAATGCAGTATGTGTAAGTATCTGAATCTGTCCTGTCACCCCCTGTACAGCCCCACTCAGACTGGGAGTGAGAGAGGCCGAACTAGAAGCCAATCAGGTGTGCTGCATGCACATGTGCTGACAGGCGGAGAAAGCAGAGTGGGCTCATCAGCGTTCTGCTGCTCCTTCATTGTCCAATCAGCAAGCTGAGGGTGTGTTCCTGCACAGGCAGTGCTGGTATTTGGACCTGACTCTACCTCCTGGATCACAGAACTGTCCAGACAGATTTACAAATGCTTTGTCAGACAAAGCAGCGCCCATGTGATTAGTGGCCTGACTGGAGTTCAGCTTCAAAAAATAAAAAATCTGAACAAATAAACCTAAAACAACCCAAGCATATAAATGTCAACAATCGATACAGGTGTAATAATAACATAACATATAATGATGTAATGAAAACAATCATAGGAAAATAAATACAAATGAACAGTATACTTTGCAGACATTATTATTGGTCGCCATGTCAGGAAGGCACTCCGAGGCAGGGGCGGACTGACAACTCATGGGGCCCCCGGGCAATAGGGGATCATGGGGCCCCTGTGTTCTCACCCACACTCAAACCACACCCAGAAAATCCTAAGAAAGGTACCAGGGGCATCTCATGGGGCCCCCTACTGACCCTGGGCCCTCAGGCAGTGCCTGAGTACCCCAATGGTCAGTTCACCCCTGCTCTGAGGATGAGGATATCAGCAGCCAGAGGGATCTGTCAGGACAACCAGGTGTGGGTCAGGGGCGGACTGACAACTCATGGGGCCCCCGGGCAATAGGGGATCATGGGGCCCCTGAGTCCTTGCCCAAACTCAAAAAAGCCTATGAAAATGGTACCAGGGTCATCTCATGGGGCCCCCTACTGACCCCGGGCCCTTGGGCGGTGCCCAAGTTTCCAAATGGTCAGCCCTCCCCTGGTGTGGGTATATTCAGGGAGGCATTTGGTGCTCCCCCCCCACCCATCCCCAGCTGGCCGCGTCCCCGCAGTCAGTTTAAACATAAATGTTGGCTGGAGTGAAAGCTTTTTACATCTCAGAAATCTGCTTACAGTCGATAAATGTAATTACGGCGGAGCCGGCGAGTTGTTGAGGATTTCACGTGCTGCTGTTCCGGAGATCTCACCCTAATCGTCTCCCGGGATTATGGAAGGATGCGTCTGTTCTCGGCTCATTAATGGATGTACATCGCCAGTGACGTGCAGCCATGACATCTGCCTTGTGTCTGCTTTACTGGGGGGAGACCAGGATGGAATCCATCCTCTTCTACAATCAACAATGAGATATTTCACAGGAATGTTTGTTGTTTCATTGTGAATTGTTCATAAAGGGTCAGTCCATCCTAAACTGGTATTTCAGTTAAATGGCGGGAAGTTTGGGCTGATCCAAAGTAATATCTTCCTGCCAGGGGCGGACTGACCATTTGGAAACTCGGGCACTGCCTGAGGCCCCCGGGTTGGGGGGGGTCAGTAGGGGGCCCCATGAGATGCCCCTGGTACCTTTTTAATAGGCTTTTTTGAGTTTGGGCAAGGACACAGGGGCCCCATGATCCCCTATTGCCCGGGGGCCCCATGAGTTGTCAGTCCGCCCCTGCTTCCTGCTGTAGTCCCCTGACTTTATTTCTTTTCACCGGGCAGTTTTGGGTGTCCCCACTGACCTTTGTGTGTCCCCACGTCTCCTACTACATTCTACATAAGATAAATCCAGCAAAGATGATAGGAACCCCTCATAATGGGCACAGCGGGTGTACAGACCCGGGAACTCAGCACAGGGGTGGTGGGAATCCCTCATAATGAGCACAGAAGGTGTACAGACCTCGGAACTCAGCACTGAGGTGGTGAGAATCCCTCATAATGGGCACAGCAGGTATACAGGCCCAGGAACTCAGCACAGGGGTGGTGGGAATCCCTCATAATGGGCACAGAAGGTGTACAGACCCCGGAACTCAGCACAGGGATGGTGGGAACCCCTCATAATGGGCACAGAAGGTGTACAGACCCAGGAACTCAGCACAGAGATGGTGGGAACCCCTTATAATGGGCACATAAGATGTACAGGCCTGGGAACTCAGTACAGGAATGGTGGGGAACCCCTCATAATGAGCACACAGAAGGTGTACAGACCCAGGAACTCAGCACAGGGATGGTGGGAACCCCTCATAATGAGTACAGGGGCTGCACTGACACAGGAGTTCAACACACGGATAATGGGCACAGCAGGTTTGAGGACCATGAACTCGGGGCAGGGATGTTGAGAACCCCACATAATGGGCACAGCAGGTGTACAGACCTGGAAACTCAGTACAGGAATGGTGGGAACCCCTCATAATGAGCACAGAAGGTGTACAGACCCAGGAAACTCAGCACAGGGATGTTGAGAACCCCTCATAATGGCACAGCAGCTGTACAGACCTGGAAAAATTAAGCACAGGGATGGTGGGAACCCCTCATAATGTTCACATCAGGTGTACAGGCCTGGGTACTCAGCACAGGGATGGTGGGAACCCTCATAATGGGCACAGCAGATGTACACACCTGGGAGCTCAGCACAGGGGTCTCACCAGTAGAATTCCTCAGAGAAAGAACAGATTGCCAGAGGTTCACATCTCTATCCTGCAGAGAGGTCAGCAATGACATCCTCCATGTTTCTATGATGATGGGTTCCTCTGGGAAAACCCAGCAGAGCCCTTTTGCTCCTTTTACAGAATCTGACTTTCAGCCCCTTCTCTATGGCCAAGCCAGGAAAAGAAGCTATTTTCCCATAATGCAGCAGCAGTTACTCCACTCTGTGCCAGTGTGAGGGTGTCAGGTCTCCATGTCATTTGTTGTGTTTATAATAAATAAATGTCCATCTCTTGAATCATAGTTCTTCTTTACCCTCCAGATTTTGGTGGATCTGATGAGAGCAGAAGATTTGGTGTTGATCTGAGTCTGAGGCACCCAACATACAATCATGAGCTTCTCCTCGCTGCTGTCGCGGGGAGCGGCAGACATCCTGGAGGAGCTGCAAGCTTTGACAGCCAAGACAATGGAGAAGGTGGAGGTGACAAAACAGTACGAAGTCATCCGAGAGCTGGGCAAGGGGACATATGGGAGAGTGGACCTGGTCATCCACAAGGTCAGAGGTGAGGAATTATGAGAGATATTCATACCTGGGGATCAGTATGACACCTTCTGGGGGCAGGATGGTTTATGATGGTCATGGGGACAGCTGCTGTCCATGTGTATGAAAGTTCTTTTATTCAGACCATGATATAGCTAGCAGTGGTCAATCCAACTGAACTTAAACAAGACCAATTGATGGTGGCCTGCTACCAATGCTGGGAAAAAACTCCTTTAGGACCCAAGGCAAAAGTGTGCCCTTTCCCCATAGCTGTGATCTACTTCAGCCAAAGCACCCAAGGTGGCCACCAGGGGCGGACTGACAACTCATGGGGCGCCCGGGCAATAGGGGATCATGGGGCCCCTGTGTCCTTGCCCACACTCAAAGCACACCCAAAAAAAGCCTATAAAAAGGTACCAGGGGCATTTCATGGGGCCCCCTACTGACCCCGGGCCCTCGGTCAGTGCCCGAGTGCTCGAATAGTCAGTCCGCCCCTGGTGGCCACTTCTTTTGCCTACTCCTTGGCCCAACTCTGCTAACTACTACTAGCTGCTTCAAGGTTTTGTCATATGGACCAAAACTGCTAGAAATAGAGGATGAATATGATGGAAATGTACTGTACATATAGAAGAAGCCATTTTAGATATCTCCTTTGAAAATGCTTATGTAGCGCTTACCCCTGCAGGAACCACTGGGAATGACGTGTTCTCTGTTCTGCCCTGACACTTTAAGCTGCTCGGACCCCACTGGCACACTTGTGTAATATAAAGGTTGGGAGGCTACCACTCTATAATAATGCACAGAAGGTAGGCCACAAGCTACTGGATGGTGGATTAAACTGATGTATTATGGCAATACAGTTAAACAATGCATACATCCATAAACAGACAATTGAACAGGTTTAAAGATGCTGCACTAGTGAATGTGTACACTGAAGATAGCAATGAACTGAAGAGAAGTGATGCTAAACCGCGTTATAAACAAACAGGGTGCAAACAGGGTTATGAGTATTGGTATGAATTAACGCAGGAATAAAGGTCCTCATGTGTACACTATGCATACAGCCCCAAAAATAGGTGGGCATATGCATTTCTGACAAAGGGGTGCCCCTGGAGGTGACTGCAAAGAACCTGGTTCTTAATTGCCAGTGTTGGCCAGCTTTCATTGAGGCCCTTCTGTAAGGTGGTGCATGTGTAGCTGTCACTTTAAGAGTGTGCAACGGATGGCTAGTGGGCTACTAAACAAGAAGCAGTCTCTAATGCATAAATTGTGTCAGTGTTGAGATAAGCACAGATGGTTCAGCTCACCCCTCTTGGTGCACAGGACTCCAGTCCAGATCAGTTGGCATCTGCTGTCTTCATATACCCAGGACCTGGGGACTCTCAGCTCTGGTCCTCGCAAGGCACAGTCTATCAGCTCTGGTCCTTGCAAGGCACCGTCTCTCAGCTCTGGTCCTTGCGAGGCACCGTCTCTCATCTCTGGTCCTTGCAAGGCACAGTCTCACAGCTCTGGTCCTTGCAAGGCACAGTCTCACGGCTCTGGTCCTTGCAAGGCACAGTCTCACAGCTCTGGTCCTCAGAAGATGCAGTTTCTCAGCTCTGATCACACGTAACACAAGTCTTAGTCTTCTGATACCTGTTTAGGTTAGGTCTCGGTTGCTCAAGCCCTCAGGCATTGTCTCTCTTTCTCTCTCTCTCTGAAGTGGGCAGACAGACACCAGCAACAGGTCCACTCTCTTGCTCCCCATGCAAGACTGTCCAGATCTCCGGAAAATTGCCCAGGAAACTGCTGTCCACTCCTTCTGTGGGCTGAGAATCCTCGGTATTAAAGTCTAAAGCTCCATTAGCCTCCATTGACTTGTATTGTACTATGCTAGCAAGTTCTCTCCCTGCCTGACTGGCTCAAACACTGCTTTTACCAGGCGGGAGGGAGAAGCAAGCGCAAGTGGGGTAAAGTGGGCAGATACACCCACTTCACAGCTGCAGCTCACATGCCTGCTATGTTTACACAGAGCCCAGTGCTCTGACAGAGTGTACCAGGGAGGCCCACAGGGCAGAGGATCATGCACCTGGTGGTTATCCGGCTACACTCTCTCCCCCATCAAAGAACCTTTGTTCCCCCAAAGGAGGGACTGAGTCCAGTAACATATAAATGTTCATAACCTGGCAAAAGCTTTTAAAGTACAATGGGAGGCAAAATTAGGTTAGCAAACATATAAAAACAAACATGTGGCATTTAAATATGCAAGGAAACCTCCCAACCAGAGAGAGGACTGACCATTTTGAAACTCGGGCACTGCCTGAGGGCCCTGGGTCCGTAGGGGGCACCATGAGATGCCCCTGGTACCTTTTTCATGGGCTTTTTTGAGTTTGGGCAAGGACACAGGGGCCCCATGATCTCCTATTGCCAGAGGGCCAATGAGTTGTCAGTCCGCCCCTGCTCCCAACATTGGTCAGAGGGAGAGGGGTTGCCTTGACCATATACCACTGATACTGGTAGGGTCCACCAAGGTTTGTCAGGGTGTGAGCCAGAGTCGCCCTTCACTTAAACTGGAGTAGGGAGGGTTGGCATTTGGTGAGATGTGGTGGGTGAATGAGCAGGGCAGAAAATCACAGCTGGTGGGCACCGGGTTACACTTGCTCACTGGCTGTCACGCTGATTCTCTGGCTTCTTTCATATTTGAACGACTGACCTGGGGCAAGCATTCAAATTAGGAGTTCAGATTTCACTAATGTCGTTCCATGTGAGTAACTCAGAGAGCTTAGAAGTGAGACAAAGTCAGATACAGAGCATTTTCAGCAGGAGGTCAACAATGGCAGTTTTCTTTAAACTGTATCTAAAACCAAAACTTTCATTTTATTTTTGGATGTAGAGATTTTCTCTTTTTTTTGTCCCAATCATCATTGTTTCTGATAAAGGAAGTGATGGGGAATACAAAAATGTACACATTTTACAAATCTTTTAATGGGGTCCACTGTTTTGGTGACAACTATATAGGAGGAGATTTCTACACACTTTGGGAGATTTCCTTTCATGTCCTGTTGTTCTCTGGGAAAGGGAGTGGACTAATATGTCCCCAGTGGGAGAACAAAAAAAAAATGACTGCACATAAGTCCTACACAGGTAGAATGTATTTTTCATAAAGTCTTTGCCCATCTTGCAGGCACCAAGATGGCTCTGAAGTTCTTGCGGAAGAAGACAACAAAGCAGAAGAGTTTCCTGCAGGAATATTGCATCTCCCGCTACCTCTCTTCCTGCCCGTACATCATCGGCATGTATGACATTGCCTTTGAGACTGAAGAGTACTATGCCTTTGCCCAGGAGTACGCCGTGGCCGGAGATCTCTTCGATATTATTCCACCACAGGTTGGTGCCAAGAGAAAATAGACATCAAATGCTTTATGTGTGGTCTGATTTACTTCCCACATTGATCTGGTAACATGGAGAGGGTGCTGTGTAGTCACATGACTGCCCTACGTTCATATAAAACTGGTGAGCCATCATGGCCACCCACTGTGCTTTATTTTCCATGAGCCCTTGTTATTAGAACATGGAGATGTACTGCTCTGCCAGGGGTCAGTCAGTGAAAAACAAACTCCAGGACACCACCGCTGACACTATATGTGCAAAAATTTGGGTACACCCATATGACCCTGTTAGACATCCCATTCCAAAATCATAACCATTTACATGAAGTTGCCCCCCCCCCTCCTTTGTGGCTATAACAGTCTTCACTTTTCTGGGAAGGCTGTTACAGGATATTGGAGGGTGTGAATTTTATTGCACATTTTTTAGGTCAGGTACTGATGTTGGATGTGAAGACCTGAACCTCAAGTGGTGTTCCAATTCCTTTCAAATGTATTCAGTAGGGTTGGAGTCAGGACTGTGTGAAGGACACTTGAGTTCTTCCACATCAATCTGGTCAAACCATTTCTTTATGGAGCTGACTTTGTGCAAAGTCATGCTGGAAATGAAGTTTTTTTCTTCAACTGTTACCCTGTCCTAAATGTCTTTGTATGATGTAGTATTAAAAGGGTCCTTCACTGGAACCACCTGAACTCATTTGATCCACATATTTCTAGCCATATATTTGATGTGATGGTAAGGTGAACATCATGTCTCGGTTTGGCAATAGAGTGTATTTAAATCATTAAAATGGGATAGTAAAATGTCCCTTGGCCAAAGGCTGTAGACCTTGCTGAAGATTCTTATCCATTTCCAGCAAGGCCACTTTTAACCAGAGCAAAGATGGAATTTCTCCTAGAACATTAGAACATCAGAATCCCACAGGACCCTGTGGACCATGTGACTTGGGATGTAAAGGCTCGCATCATGGACAGTTGATGCTCTGTTAGGCTTGAAAAACAGGGCCTTGAAGAACAGGGGCAGACAGATCAGGTACTGAAGGGCTTTTTAGTAGACCATTTATGCTGGGTGTGGGTTTAGGCTGAGGCTGAGACCCCTCCCATTGGCATGTAGACCCTATGAACTGCTCATTACTACAGAAGGTCAATGTTCATAATGTCCAAACTTTTCTCCCACTCTGTATTATTCAATTAATGATGGACAGTGGTGCTTCCTTCACCCTTGGCCACAGCCAGACTAGCTTCCTTCACTGGAACCACCTGAACTCATTTGATCCACATATTTCTAGCCATATATTTGATGTGATGGTAAGGTGAACATCACGTCTCGGTTTGGCAGTATAGTGTAGTTAAATCATTAAAATGGGATAGTAAAATGTCCCTTGGCCAAAGGCTGTAGACCTTGCTGGAGATTCTTATTCATTTCTAGCAAGGCCACTTTTAACCAGAGCAAAGATGGAATTTCTCCTAGAACATCAGGATCCCACAGGACCCTTTGGACCATGTGACTTGGGATGTAAAGGCTCGCATCATGGACAGTTGATGCTCTGTGAGACTTGAAAAACAGGGCCTTGAAGAACAGGGGCAGACAGATCAGGCCTTTTAGTGGACCATTTATGCTGGGTATGGGTTTAGGCTGAGGCTGAGACCAATCCCATTGGCATGTAGACCCTATGAACTGCTCATTACTACAGAAGGTCAAAGTTCATGATGTCCAAACTTTTCTCCCACTCTGTATTATTCAATTAACTCTGTATTATTCAATTAATGATGCTTCCTTCACCCTTGGCCAGACTAGCGCTGATGCCATCGGTGCTATTTGGACTGGAAGTCTGACTCCATTTGCATCTAATGAACTATGATATAATTTAGGGCATGAGAAAGGCCAATTCTCACCCTTGCACTTGGGCAGAATGTAAATGGAGGGTTCTCATAAAGGGACCCTTTGTTGACTATGTCTGCAGTGTAGAAGACCCTGTGTCATTAAATGGTATCTACTCTAGGCACTTCATAAACGAAACCTGTCATTCACCTGTCAAGAGCTGGCCCATGGCCTCCCACCCCTTGCACATCACTATTGGTCAGCCACGTTGCTCTTCCTGATTATGGGCCATTAGCAAGATGTGGGAGGAGAGCAGAATGTGCAAAAGACCACCAGGTTTAGATCATGAAGATGGGTGGAGGTACCTGCTGGCACCCCAAAGCTTTTCACCTATTCATTTTTTAATTTAGCAAGAGAACAAGTGCATCAAAACAGTTCTGGTCCCTCACCCAGTCAGGAGATATACTCCCTTTAGTGTGTCTATTTCTGGATGAGTACTTCATGTTAAACTCCTGGTGGAGCTTTTCCACCAATGTGAGATTCCTCCAGTACTTTATCTGTTGGTGTCACTTTGCATTAAACCAAAATCTTCAAACTGTATTACAATGAAGCCTATGTTATTTCTTTCTTGTGGATATTTTGCTTCATCTTTTCAGGTTGGACTTTCTGAACACACGACAAAACGCTGTATCTACCAAGTTGCACTGGCCTTGGATTACCTACACAACCGCAAGCTTGTCCACCGCGACATCAAACCTGAAAACATCCTCATCTTTGACAAAGAGTGCCGAAAGGTTAAACTCTCTGATTTCGGCATGACTAGGATTGCGGGGACAACTGAGAAGCGGGTGAGCGGCACCATCCCATACACAGCACCAGAACTTTGTGAGACTTCCAAGCACAGCGGGTTTGTGGTGGAGTACAGCATCGACGTCTGGGCCTTCGGGGTCCTGCTCTTCTGTATGATGACCGGGAACTTCCCCTGGAAAAAGGCTTTGCACTTAGACTCTTTCTATTACGAATTCCTACAATGGCAAAAGTACAAAAACGCTAACGTGCCATCTCAGTGGCGTCGATTCACGCCTCACGCCCTGAAAATGTTCAGCAAGCTGCTCTCCATTGAGCCGGAGAAGAGGTGTGCCATTAAGGATATTCTCTGGTACTTTGGCAAGAATTGGCTGATTAGCAAGGAGGAGCCTCCGGTGGCTGATGCTAAAACCAACAACGACGTCTACGTCCACGTCAAACCGCAAGGTCTTCCGTTCCTCAACGGCAAACACTCTCGACAGCAATAAATCCGACACCAGCCCCAGTTTATCGTTCTCTTCGTGCAGCAGCTATGAGGATGTTCCAAAAGACAGCAATTCAAACATGTTAGTGTCAGCGCCCATTGAAATCTGCGTCTGAAAAACCTGCACCCAAAATAATACTTCAGTTACGGGTGGATGATGTCAGGCCAAATGACCCACTGACCTATGTGAGATCTCCGGAGCTTCCCAACTCCATCCATTATAAGGCATCTCATTGGCTCTGCTAGGTTTAAGTTTTTAAAAGGGCATCTGGGGTAGTGAGACCCATAGTGGATTGGGGAAGGGGCGGAGTTCAAGCAGATCCTCAAGAGATACAAGGTACCAGCCGGTGACTCTGCCCACCTCTATCTGCCCATAAATACCATATCTTTTCTGGGTAGAGGGATCCTTTAACTGTGGAAGTTTTCGCACCTCCCAGCAAATCGATCTGCTTGTGTGAGCGCACCGCGCAAATCTTCACCTTTACAATTGTTGCAGCCTTGAGCCAAGAAAGCAAAAATATTTATTAGTGTTAAGATGAAGTGTATTGTTTCTGTGTTAAGTCTTATTTATTTCCTGTGCTGTCTGTCCATTTGCGTGTCCCTGTAAGACATATCATTCATTTTCACAAATATAATTATTTATTTAAGTAGAGCCGGCGGCTGGTGCATTTATATCTGGTTCAGAATGCAATAAAATGTACACTATTTTTTTTTAACTGGTCAAATAACTATAGTAATAATTACAACAATAATGATATTATTAACAATAATGGTGATAATAACAATAATAATATTATTATTATTATACAGTATTTATAAAGTGCCAATAGTTCGCTCAGCACTGTACATTACAGAGGGGGACAGAACATGTGACAGAACAATACCAATACAATGCAAAACATGAGGGGATTGAGGGCCCTGATCTTTCGAGCTTACAATCTAGGAGGGAGGGGATGGTGGCACAGGAGGAGATAGCTGTGGGGGATGGAGTGGTAGGAAGAGTGGAGGAGGTCGGAAAGTTAGCAAGGGGGTGGGGTAGGCTTCCCTGAAGAGATGGGTTTTCAGGGTGTGTCTAAAGGAGAGGAGAGTAGGTGATAGTCTGATGGGTTGGGGCAGGGAGTTCCAGAGGATGGGTGACACCCTGGAGAAGTCCTGGAGGCGGGCATGGGAGGAGGAGACCAGGGAACTAGAGAGAAGGAGGTCTTGTGAGGAGCGGAGTGTGCATGTTGGGCGGTACTTGGATATTAGGTCAGTGATGTAGTTCGGGGGCAGTATGGTGGACAGCTTTGTACGTCAGTGTTAGGATTTTGAATTTGATCCGTTGGGCAATCGGAAGCCAGTGGAGGGATTGGCAGAGGGGGGTGGCGGAAACGGAGCGGTTGGAAAGGTGAATGAGTCTGGCAGCCGTATTCAGGATGGACTGAAGCGGGGATAGCCAGCGGCGAGGCAGGCCAGTGAGGAGGGAGTTGCAGTAGTTGAGTTGTGATATGATGAGGGAGTGGATGAGCTGTTTAGTGGTTTCTAATAATAATAAAAATAATAATAATAATATGTCTTCAAAAAAGAGGTGTGCACCTACGGTGGGTATTGAAGGACTCTGCATGTGAAGGGAAAAACCCCCTGCAGGACTTATGAGCCACCAACCTAGAATATGGATTCAATATACTATAATTGTTTATTTAAGTAGAGCCAGTGAATGGTTTCTTCTTATCTGGTCCCAAATGCAATAAAATTTATATTATTTTTTAATCGGTCAAATAATAAAAAATAAAAAGCATAACAACAACGACAGTAACAATAGCAATGATAATAATAATAAGATTAATAATATAATTATTATTTTAATAATAACCTGTCTTTAAGAAAGAGGTGTGCGCATACGATGCGCAAAGAAGGACTCTCGGAGTGGCAGCACCTCCTTCAACTCCTTATGAGCCACCAACCTGAATCAAGGGTTCACATTCATAACTATTTATCTAAGCAGAGCCTGTGGCTGTTTTGCTTTTATCTGGTCTTGAATGCAATACAATGAAAAAATTTTTTTTAGGTGGTCAAACAACAAAAACAATAATCATAACAACAACAATTATAGTATGTAAATATTATAATATTAGTGAAATAATAATAATAAAAATAATAATACTATTGTTATTATTTTTGTTATAGCAACAATAATAATAACAACAATAATAATATTATTAATAATAGAATTATTATTAATGTTTTATTATTATTATTGTTATTGGTGGTGGTAGTAGTAGTATTAATATTATTATTTTCTTTGAAGACATGTTATTATTATTATTATTATTATATTTATTATTCTTATCATCATTATTATTATTATTTTTATATTACTGTTATTATTATTATTATTATTATTAATAATAATAATATTAAAAATGGTATTCTTCTTCTTAATAATAATAATAATACTATTCAACTTATTATTATTACCATTGTTATTATTATAATTAATGACAATAATAATAACAATAATATGAATGTGCCTTCAGAGAAAGGCTGTGGGCTCTGCATGTGAGTGGTAGCACCCCTTGCTGGACCATAGTGAGCCACCGACCTGAAACAGGGATTCTGCCAGAGAAGTTGGGACACCTGCCCTGTGTACCTGTGCAGGTAAAACTCCAGAGAAGTGAGCTGGGTCAGTATGAAGAGGATACACAGGTAAGAAGAACTTCCTGACACATGCCATCTGAGCTGATGGACCCGGTGCCCCTCACGGTACCAGAAATATTCATGTCGGTAAATCATGACCACCTGCTAAGGGTGGGTTGTGACCACCAGGATACCTTTCTCACAGTTACTGTTGACGCTCAGCTTTGCGGCCATCATCTCTCCAGCCCGTCACTCTTCCCTGACCATTCATTTATATTTCCAGGAACTTTAACATGCAATACTGGATTAAGAAGTTAATTGTATCAAGAGCCTGAGACATTCACCAACATCACCCCTGCCCCCCCACCCGAGAGAACCTTCCGTTACCATTGCCCTCCCACTCGAGAGAACCTTCCATTACCATTGCCTCCCCACCCGAGAGAACCTTCCATTACCATTGCCCCCCCCCCCACCCCAGAGAACCTTCCATTACCATTGTCCCCCACCTGAGAGAACCTTCCATTACCATTGCCTCCCCACCCAAGAGGACCTTCCATTACCATTGCCCCCCACCCGAGAGGACCTTCCATTACCATTGCCTCCCCACCCCAGAGAACCTTAAATTACCATTGCCTCCCCACCCGAGAGAACCTTCCATTACCTTTGCCCCCCCACTCGAGAGCACCTTCCATTACCATTGCCCCCCACCCAAGAGAACCTTCCATTATCATTGCCCCCCCCACCCGAATGAACCTTCCATTACCATTGCTTCCCCACCTGAGAGAACCTTCCATCACCATTGCCCCCCCCACTCGAGAGAACTTTCCATTACCATTGCCTCCCCACCCCACCCAAGAGAACCTTCCATTACCATTGCCCCCCCCCCCACCCGAGAGAACATTCCATTACCATTGCCCCCCACCCAAGAGAACCTTCCATTACAATTCCCCCCACCACCCGAAAGAACCTTCCATTACCATTGCCCCCCCACCCGAGAGAACCTTCCATTACCATTGCCCCCCGACCCAACAGAACCTTCCATTAGCATTGCCACTCCACCCAAGAGAACCCTCCATTACCATTGCCTCCGCACCCGAGAGAACCTTCCATTACCATTGCCCCCCACTCAAGAGAACCTTCCATTACCATTGCCCATCCACCCGATAGAACCTTCCATTACCATTGCTCCCCACCCTAGAGAACCTTCCATTACCATCCCCCACCCAAGAGAACCTTCCATTACCACTGCCCCCCCACCCAAGAGAACCTTCCATTACCATTGCCCCCCCGCTCGAGAGAACCTTCCATTACCATTGCCCCCCGACCCAACAGAACCTTCCATTAGCATTGCCACTCCACCCAAGAGAACCCTCCATTACCATTGCCTCCCCACCCGAGAGAACCTTCCATTACCATTGCCCCCCACTCAAGAGAACCTTCCATTACCATTGCCCATCCACCCGATAGAACCTTCCATTACCATTGCTCCCCAACCTAGAGAACCTTCCATTACCATCCCCCACCCAAGAGAACCTTCCATTACCACTGCCCCCCCACCCAAGAGAACCTTCCATTACCATTGCCCCCCCGCTCGAGAGAACCTTCCATTACCATTGCCCCCCCACCTGAGAGAACCTTCCATTACCATTGCCCCCCATACACCGCCTTCCCCACCAGATGAGAGAGAGAAAGACACTCACCTTCACAGCTCTGGACATCCTTGGGAATGAGAGTCGGACTCTGCATATACCATCAAGCAGCCAATAGCCTGTTTCAGATCCCACCTGCTCCCCATGCCACCTGTGTCCCTTCTTCAGTCTCTTCTTCCAGGGGGCAGCACTGCCCCCCTGAAAAATGCCATCCTAGGCAAATGCCTTGTTCTAAATGAACCCCTGGTGCGGTTGAATATTTAGTAATTCCCCCCCCCCCCCAGTGTTTAGGGACTGGCAGGTAATAGAAGTGTGGGGCAGTCTTTGCATTCTGCATATTGGACATTAGGTGTCACTGCAGCACAGAGCAGGACTGCAGCAGCTACAGCACCTGATGGCCCTGACAGCAGATTAGGGGAAGCAGCACAGATGGGGAACTTGGGGAGTTTTCAGTGATCAGGATACCTGTAAGGAGGACTGAGGGGATTCCAGGCCTGATCCTCAGTAATAGTACGCAGAGCTGCAAGCGGAGCAGTGTTCACTGGATGGACAGCATTGATTTTGCAGGTAAACTGTTTACAGGATTTTATTTACTTATTGGATCAGAGTTCTGCTCTGTGGACGGGAGGGGGCTCCACTGTCGTCAAGTATTGCAGCTTCTATACAGACATGTCATTGCAATTCAGTTATTAATACACAATAAGGGGAATATTCAGCAGAAATTCAAAGGGGAGGGAGCAAGACTGGGCCCCCCAATGACAGCAATGGATCTTGTCAATGCCGTAGTACCCATGTCCTGCGTCAATATTAACCGATAGCTGAAATATTACAATTCCTTATAAAGTGGTCTG